AGATATCCAGGAGATTAAAAATTCTATTGAAAGTATATGCAGCAGAATGAACCAATGTGAGCAGAATATCAGATCTAAATGACAGGTTTACGGTTAGCAATTATCAAAAGAAAGATTTCCTAAAAATAGTAAGGGACCAAGAAAAATTAATCCAACAACTGCAGAGGATGCAAAGATAACATAAGGTTGACTAGAGTCAATGAAAAAGCAAGAGATAGTACAAATGACTTTAAAAGCTTGTTCACAGAAGTAATGGCAGAAAATTTCCCAAGAATTTGACATACAGATAAGTGAGGCACATAGAACTCCAATTAGCTATTATTTTTAAAAAATCTACACCAAGGCATATACAGAAAGCCCATCAAATCACAGCAGAGTTCTCAACACAAAACCATAAGTCAAGGAGAGCTTGGAGTGAAGTATTTCAAGTCCTAAAAGAAAACAAGCTTCAATGCAGACTGATGAACCCCACAAGTTTATTTTTCAAAATTGATGAAGAAATAGATACTTCCATGACAAAGAATACCTGAAGCAATTTATAACTATGAAACCAACACTCCAAAATGTTTGGAAGGATATTCTGCAAAGAGATAACATCTCCATGAATCCCAACATAATTAATGCACTAGGCAAGGCAAGCAATTAAACAGAGGGAAAAGAAAGGGAACCAACAACAGGAAAATAATGTGACAAGGATAAGTCAATACATATCCTCAGCAGCATCCTGGAACCCTTTGATCATGAGTGGTGTTATCTCTTCTCACTCTTCCTCATTCATATTCTAGCTGGCATTAAGTAACATTAACATGTTGTCACATTCAGTGATGCCACATTCAGTGGCATAGAGGTCACTCAGCACATTGGCATAAGCTATCTACCCCATCATATAGGGATCATCCACCAAGGCATCAACGAAAGGGCCCCCATGTCTCAGGGGGATGATCCAGGAGTCCATCTCAATGCTCAGGGTTAGTGAGGCTGTGCTGGGACCCTGGGCTGCAGGCCAGCTTCCTGGGCCACCTCTTCTTGGCCTCAGACCAGGCTAGAGCCCAGAGGGGGCCACACATCCAGTAGGAGTTTGAACAGCATTTCCTGGGGGACTTTGCAGCCTCAGCCTTTCATGCCAGAGAACCCCATTGCGCTGAGGCCTGATGCCTAGGGCTTGAAGGGCCAGTACCTCAGAAAGCTCCAACCCAGAGTCAAGCCCCAAAGGCCTGAGATGCCTTCTGCCACCATCATTATCTCTCACTGGCACCCAATGCAGCTTCTGCCATTGTGCTGGCCCAGTAGGGAGGGAAGAAGAAGAGAGCAGGGGCCTGTTTGATTTTCTACTCTAGTTAATTTGAAGTAACAGCCAGATGTTACCTGAAGAGCTGCTCCATGACATGCCAGGCACCACAGAAGGCCTGAAGCCACCTTCTCAGCCTAGACAGCCATTCTTAGAAAAGACAGCACAAAATTTATGAAGAGTACTACTAGGATATTACAGCAATTTCAAGATATATCCAGGATTCTCTTGGTTTTAGTTAATTTGCAAAATTGAATACTGCAATCAAGCTCTTCTTACCTTAGTCCCTTAACCGATTAGTGGCAAAGACTATTGCCCAGTTAGAAAAAAAAGTCAGTGTTGATATATTTAAAAAACTGAGATACAAAAACAGCTAAATTCCATAGCAAAATAAGAAAGTCAACAGTAAATATATCAAATTCTGGATTGATTGCTGAGATTATGAAAGATAAAACTGTACATAATGTGGCTTCCTAAAAGCCAAAAGTTTAGGAAGTATGAAAAGGCAAGGTGAAGAGTAGAGAATAATTATCCTCAATTGGGTTTCACCTATCACACCCTACTACTATTCAGAAAAGAGTAGGATGTGACAGCAGAAGACTACTGAAGAGAAGTATCCTCCTAATTGCATGGTAAATATTGATTCTAATATAATTTCAATTACAATAGAAAGAAAGCAGTTTGGATCTATTAATCAAACTTTGAGGTATAGAGTTTATAAACTAGATACTCTTGTAATTTGAGAGTAAACTTCTAAAACCAAGTCATTTCTTTGTGTGCATAAAATATTCACAACCCTTTGCAAAAACAATTTTTACAACAGAAGCTTTGAGATTTAAAAATAAAAGCTTAAAAGTAAGCTAACCTAGAAAGAATTGAGAGCATTCAGAAATCAAAGACATAGTAAGATTTGGAAGATTAAGCATAGTAAAATATATCAATTATCCAAAAATTAATCTACATTTAATACAATCCCTATACAAATTACAGAAAGGTATTTGTAGACATAGAAAAGATTATACTAAGATTTATATGGAAAAGCAGAGAACCTAGAGTAGTCAAAATTTTGTTGTTCAGTTTTGTTTTGTTTTTGAGACAGGGTCTTGCTATGTAGTGGACTACCACTCAAAAATAAAAAGAAACTGCTGACATATGCAACAACTTGGTTGAATATTTTTAAGTGAAATGTGCCAACACCAAAAGCACATACATTGTATTATGCCACTTATATAACATTGTCAAAATGACAAAATTATAGAGATGGTGAACAGATTAGTGGATCCCACAAGTTAAAGAAAGGGGATGATAGCTGTGGCTATAGAAACATAACACAAAGGACTCTATTCTGTATCTTGAATGTGGTCATGGTCATATGAAACTATATATATGTGATAAAACTACATATAACTAGTTTCGCGTGGTGGCGCATACCTGTAATTTCTCTATTTAGGAGGAGGCTAAAGCAGGATAACACATTTAAAGCCAGCCTGGGCTACATGGCATGAGACCTTGTCTCAAAAAGGAAAGAAAAAAACTGCCTATAACTACATACTTACATGAGCACACAAAACTAATGAAAGCTGAGTAAATCTGATGAATTGTATCAATGTATCAAAACCAATTTCTTCATTATAATATTGTATTATAGTTATACAACATGTTACCATAGGAAGAAATTAAGTAAAAGGTACATGGGATCTTTTATATAATTTCCTTACAACTGTGTGTCTATCTACAATAAACTCAAATAAAAAGTAAAAGTTAAAAACAAAAAAAACTTTAAAAAATCTAACATGGAAAAAACCGTAAGACACTATATGGCTATTTCAAACACATCATTACAGATGATTGATTTTCAGGCCCCCAAATGAGCAGCCATATAAGTTACATCCCTTTACAACTCTGAATCCACAGGCTTAGCTCTATTTTTTTCTCCCCAACCCCACAAACTGTCAACTCCTTTATAACCAGCTATAACACGTTCCAGCCAGCTTGAACCACTGGTGGTATATGCATGACTGTTCCATCAGGCAGCCTGTACACTGGTGTTAGCTATATCACATCTGACAATCTAATTTAAATAAGAGCTGGCTAACAGCAGAACACACGAATTATGGCCCTGCTGTGAATGTGATCTTAAGAGAACTGCAGTCCATGTGTGTACATGGGTGAAAGCACTGCAATTTCATGTTCTCTCTATACATGGTACCTCAGTTCACAAACTTAATTCTTTCCCTGATTCTGGTCACAAACTGAATTGGATAAGAACCAAACTAAATTTCCTCCTAAGGTCAACATTGAACCTAACCATTAAATTTGATCCAGTTTTCATCCAATCCAGAATCGTGGCAAGCATTAAGCTTGTGACCCGAGCTACCACTGTAGATGGGTTTATATCCCCATCAGGAATTACGTATTAATTAGTATTCTACAGTCTTCATTCCTAATTTTAAAATCTATTATGTGGTACATTCTATATTTCCTTTTAAAAAATAATTAAAATGTCAGTTATTTGTCATTTATGGTGATCATTGCTTCTAGTACCCACTCCTATCCCATTTCATGGGTAAGTGACCCTTATAAAAAAAGTCTTCTTATGTTTTTTACTTTGAGGAGACTGCTAGTAGAACCAATATAAAAGGATTATCTTCTGTGACATGAAATAGAAGATAATGATTTTAAAATTTGGAGAATAAACTAGGCACTTTTCCTGACCATTGATATACCTTGATACACTTAATAAGCCACTGCCTCTGGACATGACACAGGTATATTGGGCATGGCATAATGTACAGACTAAGTAGCATAACCTGCTATGTATTAAAAACACCTAATATAGTGCATAAACTCAATTTATTTATGGTTTTGAGCTTCTTGTGCTCAGACATCTCTCACGACAAACATTATCTCCATACTTTTTCCCTACTTTTGCTTTCCAAAGTACCTGTCAATTCTAAGCAACAGAATCTGACTCAGGGCTCTTGTTTGTTAGACAGTAAGTTGTATCTACTATACTTTTCCTATGCGAAAGTCATGAAATAGGACTCTTCCTTCGGCTCTCGATGGAAAGAGTTTCTTAAAAAGTGCTACTGTATTCTTGGACTAGTTACTTAGTATATTCCCACCCACTTTTTATCAGTTTTTATTTTGGAAAGTAGGGACACACCCTTCCCCAGATGATATATTATGTATTCTAACTAGCCTGCCATAAGTGTGCAAATTTTTTTTAAAAAGGCTTATTCACATGGGATTTCTCATACAATCGCCCCAAAAGGTCAGTTTTATGTACTAGGGATACTATAGTATTATTTTGAATTTTAGAGAAACAATCAGATAACCAAATAGATTATTTCCCTCAAATAACTAAGATTTAGAGAATTAAGCATTCATTCATCAACATATGACTTATTAATATGTGATTTTTAGCACCTTGCTCTTAAATTTACAATCTTAAATTTTCTCTAATTTCTTTTTTTTTTTTTGGTACCAGGGATCGAACTCAGGACCTTGCGCTTGGCAAGGCAGGCGGCAGAACCACTGAGCTAAATCCCCGACCCTATTTTTCCCTAATTTCTTATTCAGAAAGATAATACTAACAGTATTTTCATTTCTAAGTAAAAGCCAAATGGAAATAGCTGTTTAATATGAGCTCAAGAAATGCCCAATGAGAAACCACCCAAGAAAGCACAATTAGAACCCACCAAAATTTTACCTTGATTCTTCTTTCCGTGTCATCTAACTTCAACTCTGCTGAAACTAGTTTCTTTGCCAAATCATCTCTTTCGGGTAGGTGTCTAGCTTCAGAGATCGTTTTCAGTTTCTGTAAGGAAAATTTTGTCCTAAATAGTTCACTTTCTGTATCTTTCACCCTTTTCTCAGTTGCCCGTTCTTTCTCTTGAGATTTTCTTAAGCGTTCTTTGAGGGCTGTAATCTCATTGTTATGACGAGCTAGAAGTTGTGAGATTTCATTTTCTGCATCTCCAAATTTATTCAGGACTTTCTCCTGTCTGAACTGAACCCTTTTCAAAGCCTTATTTTCTTTCAACAGGTCAGCTAACTTGACCTGGAGTTCAGACACTTCATTCTGTAAAGCATTGATTTTTAGCAATCTTGCAGAAAGAACCCGTTTTGTCACAAGATCAGGATCTTTCCAAAGTGGCTCTCTGTTGAGGCTTTGGGAACGAAATCCCACTCGGGCTCCCTTTTTGTTTGGTGCACCCTTAGAGCTTGGTTTCCTAGGGGCTAAAAAAGAAACAGTAATAAGAAAGTGAAAGCTGTAAAGTGTAATTTTATTTATTCAAACACAAGGGGTTCCACAATATGGTTTAATTTTGACTTAAAAAGGGATTTATAATATTTCATTAACCATACAGTTTATTAAAGCTCTTAATATGTTTCTATTGAGAAGGTTTGGGGACCTTCTAAGAAAAGTTGAGAATATTATGATCCATCAAAAGTAGTATCTAGTATTTTATATGAAATTATTCTATAGTGCTTTGAAACATGGCAGTATCAGGTTTTAGCCATGTTTAACTTTATAGGTAAGATGGCAAATAGAATTCAAACATGGGGATTATCAGCATGGTGTATAATAAACACTGGATAAAGCATTGTGGTAATCAAGTCATTTGGGCCTAGGTAGTTGGGATCGTTACTTGAAATGTAAAAGTACATGTTTTTTCTAAATTAATTTCAGCTTTTTCTTTATTTGGGGAGGCAGGATGACAGAATATTGTATAGTAAGAAGATTTGGGACTCAGACTTACCACTTAGCAACTTCTCTGACAATTCAATTAAGCTTTTCCAATTTTATTTTCCCGATCTACAGATTGAGGATAACACAACATACATAAGTAGGTTTTTCTGAAAGCTAACTGAAAATGGAAAATGGCAGTACAGGTGTGTTTCTAATGCTTTTGCAGGGAGTTTTTTTGGTATGTTGTTCAAATCAACAGCTGACATAATTTGAGAACTAGAAAAAAAATCACATCCTAAAATTATAAATATATGAAATCTTTAAAAGTGTATTCAAATCACAACATTTCTCAGAATATTGCAATGTTTTTACTTTTACTAAAAGTTCACTGAAGTTAAGCCTCAATATGTAGAGCACCTGCCTTTTAAAAGAGGCACCTAAAGGTCTGCCATAGTTAGGTATAATGAACTTAATCTCCAAGGTCACTGCATTTTATCAAGGAGGAAATACATTCCAGAGTTGAAGAGGAAGAGAAGAAAAAGAAGAAATAAAAAAGATTAAACTTTCTGTATTTTGACAGCCATGGATACCTGGTTTGTTATGTAAAGAATAACAAGGAAGGGCTGGGGATTTAGCTCAGTAGTTCCACCGCCTGCCTTGCAAGGGCAAGGTCCCAAGTTCGATCTCCGGTACCAAAATAATAATAATAATAACAACAACAACAAGGAAAATAACAATTTTTACAATTTGACATCCTAAAGTTTCATTAAAAAGATGAAAGGTTTTATAGATGCTGTTTTGAATATACACTGATTTGGATTTCCAGCTCTATAAATGCTTAAATACTTGAAAGGAAGTGGTGATAAAAAGAAATGGAGGAATGCCTAACTGAAACTATGAAACATGTTATACATTAGCCACATGTGGCTGAGAAACTTGAAATGTGCTAGTCTGAATTGAGATAATGCTATAACTGTGAAACACACACGGGATTTTGAATTGTTGATTTTAAAAATGCAAAGTAGTTCACAGTGTTTTTCACTGCGTAAATGCAAAAATGTTGGGCTAAATAAATTAAAACTAATTTCACCTGTTTTTTCTTTAAATATAGTTATTAGAAAATGTAAAACTATGTAAACTTACATTTTTGACAGGAACCGTATTTTCACTGGACAACGCTGCTTTAGAATGTAATTTTGAATTTAGAGTGTCTCCTATTTCAATTTTCTTTTTTTCCTAATAACTGAGCAGGGTTTTGGGTTACACAACAGGTATTGTCTTAGAATGACAGAAACTTTATACATAAAAATTATTGCATATGAAGATGAATGGCAATTGTTCCGAATCTGATTTTATTTTTCTATGCTGGGGAGTGAACCAGAGCCTCATGCATGCTAATAAATCTCTGATTTTTAATGTATAAAATTACAATGCTCAGAAAATAAGATTTCATAGAAATAGTAATTTATTTCATTTGAAAAGCTACAGCTTAATTAAAACTCATAAAAATAAGGGTAAAAGTTCTTCACTAATACTTTATTCAACTATTTAGTCAGATACGAAAGGTTTCCACAACCAACTTTTTAACAACCTAAAAATCTGAACGTTTTTAGCATGTTTTATTAATGTGACTACAAACTGACCATTAACCTAAAATCAAAAAATATTTCTCACCTACCCTTCTCATTTTTATTTCTGAAACTATCAAGAGGAAATGTAGTGCTAACAGAAGAAAAATAAGTGATTGCTGTCTGTCTCATTTTTCATCTCCCCCCTTGTTAAGTCACCACCAAAAATGTGGGCAAAGATTGATTTTTTTCTTACTTCAGGTGTTAAAAATGAAATATGATTTTTTAATGTAGTAAAAATAAACTACTCATCTAACAAAAAATCAAGATAAGCTCAAATTACTGATTTAAAAAGGAATGGCTAAATATATAATATGCAAAAATGCATAACCAAAATCCCTCATTACATTTTATTATTATACACAGAAATTCTGCTAGAGCATCAATTTTGTTTGAAAAAATAAAATATACTGAAAATAAGAAAAGGCAGATTTGCTATTAAAAATGCAAATCCACAAATTCAAGGGTCTAAGATGCTACTTTAATCACATTTGTTTTCTCCACAGTTTACACTGGTGATGCCATTTTAACCAAGAGAAATTAGTGTTCAAAGAAAGATATCAGTTCAGTCCTGTTGCTTGGTCAAAGTAGACAAATTAGCACAGATTTTAATTCTTTCAAAAGACATTGCACAGCAGAAAACAGTACAAGTCAGAGAGAAGACAGTAATTTAGATTTTCTGGTCGATGCTGAAACTGTTTTTCACAGACTTTTCTCAATTACATTCCCTAATAAAGTAAGGCTTACATAGTTCTGATTCCTTAACTGGGTGGGCAGTTACTTTGGGGGAAAGTAGAAAGAAAATTAAAGTATTCCTTACCAATAATATCTTAGGTACACAAATTATTTCCTAGAAACAACAGACATGTTCTAAGGCTTAATTTTAAGATATATTTGTCTTTAATTGTATAGCAGAAGTTTAAAATCATGCTGTCAACTAAAAAATTGAAATGAGAAATGTTCAGTGACAGATCTGGAGGAAACGTCCAAAAACGAGGAAAAAAAAAAAAAAAGAAGAAAAGGAAGAAATCATGCTTGGAAAAAAAAAAGAAAAGAAAGGCACTCAATTATTAGAAATATGGGCATCCCTGAGGAGCTAGATTAGTGGTGTCAAGAGCTGCTGTCAATAGAGGAATTAAAAATATATACACATGTATATAAATTTTTCTTTAAAAAGTAACATTTGCACATTACATATATATTCTTTATAGTTTTTAATGTACAAATATTACTTTTAAAGTAAATATTTATAAAAGCAAATTTAATTATACTGTACCTCTGCTCACATCTTTTCAATGGCTATTCCTCAGAGAAACAGAAAGTCAATAAACTATATTAGCACAGGATGAAATGTACTTCCTGATGTAGCCTATTTTCCTTTCAGCCCCAATTTTACCACTCACTGCCTTGCAGCCAGCCTATTCTTAGCAATCACAGCTGCTGCTCTTACAACTGTCTGTATTTATGAATGTATACTATCATCATCCATTAGTTTCTTTTCCTATGCTGTTCTTATAGACCTTTCATATTTTGTTACTCAGTACAATAGGGTTTTCTGGACTGGAGATTCATTAAAATGAACAAGAGACTTACAGAACATTATGTAGCCAAATATCTTCCAGAATAGTCACATTTTAATAACAAAGTCTGCTTCATAACACAGTTTAATAGAAAACAAATTAGACTGGTAGTTCCAAGTCCCAAATTTCATTCCTAGGTTTAATTTTAACCTCTACAGTAAGTATTGTGTTGCCTAGGGTAAGTAATTTTACTCAATCTGTAAAAATTCCCTTAACCATTTTTTATCTGTGCCTTTTAATGCTTTTAAAAAACAAGTGGAATTGTTTTATAGGTTTTGTTTTGATTTTACCTTTACAGTAAGTACCTCTGAGATGCCAAGGCACACATTTATTTGGGAACAAGATAAAATGAAATGAGCACCCTTATGTTACCTTCTTCTGTATACTGTGTGACTTTGAATATAAAAAGGGTAATACATAGATCCATAAACAATATTTATATACATTTTTAAAACTACAGCCTACTCAAAATGTAAATCAGCTCCACTGGGCTCTTTCAAAAGAATACTTACCTTGGTGATGTACTTGGTTATCTGACACTTGTCTCTTAGGATCTTTCCCCCTAATATTTACAGGTGAAGGGTGGACTGGCGAAGACTGACCAGAGGACTGGGGTGTCGTTCCAAAATCAGATGAATAGTAACAGGAGTGTCTGGTGGTCTTACTTTCTTGATCACTATCTGTGCTTCTTGCTCTTTCCCCCATTATTTTGAAAAATAATCTCTATTCACGTAATTTCACAGATTTATAACAATACTCAAGAGCATTTTCCTAGTCTTCATATGCTGGTGATGATATTTATTTCTGCACAATTTATTTCTCCACAATAGATCTGTAGTCCATAATTCATATCAACCACGGAAGATCCACTTTATTTTCTATAATTAAGGAAGAGGGGAAGACTCAACATATAAATATGAAACAAAATTCTACAATGGACTACAATTAAAAACACTCATAGCAAAGTAATATATATCTTACAGTTATAAGAAGAGGCTATTTTATCTATATTTTTACATGTAAGTTATTTACAATACTGGAGAAAAGACAGCTCCTGTCCTGACCTTTAAAGAAGAGAACATGTAAAGTACCTGACATATCATTGCTTCTGAATGTTAACTAAATTTGATTCCCGTGAATCTTAAGAGTTATAATACACACAAATGCCAAATTTTAACAGGATGATAACAATCAAATGGCCAGATTTTTTTTCTTTTTTTGGTAGGAAAAGGGAGAAGTGGTGGTGGTAGTGATAAAGAATAACTTGCTGGTAAGAACAAGGAAAAAAAACCTATGACTACAAAAATGTAAAACTAAAGTTTTTTAAAAAACTAAATCAAAGGAAAAAACATTCAATAAAAGACATTTGCAAACATGACAGAAAAATGGTCATCCTTAACAAATACCTCATACCCCCCTAAAAGAAAAATACGAGTGAAAGCTTAAATACCTGATAAGACCTGAAAAAGCCAATGTAAATGACAGACACACAAACAAACATTCAACCTCAGATAGCATTTTGAACACTTTCATATTATCAGTAAGCTATCAGATACTACTGATGCAGTGACAAAAAGGCTCAGGAGCCAACTGAGGAACTCCTATTAGCCAAGGACAGACAATCTTATCATCAATAGAATTACTACATCAGCAAAAGATAAAACGTGTCAAACATATTTAAATCTACAAATGCATATGTTATTTAAAAAAAACTAGTCCTCTTTGCAGATGCTAAGGAACTAACTCATTAATTTGAAAATTGAATGTAAAGGGGAAAAACATCAGATATGTATCTTAACCATACTGCTACAAGCTCTATCAACAAAATAGAGATGAAAGAATATATTTCTTCATAGAATTACTTTAGCTAGTAAATGAAAAAGGAAATACTAAAATGGAAGCATTAGAATACTGGCTTGAAAACACTAATAAAATAATGAAGCTATATAGTGATCACTAACGACTGTAACACCACAAACAGGAAAGAATCAGACATTATTGTGCCTCCTGGTAGGAGACAATCTCTCTGAAGTAACAAGCCCTCCTCCCCCAAAATAAATCTACATCTGATCAAGCCTCTAAACATAAATGACAATTTATGGAACATATAAGGACAGAGATACAATATAAGGAAGCTATCAGCAAAATACAGGCTATGGCAAACTCTACAAGAAAAAACATTGCTTTAACAAATAAATTGTAAATAGAACACAAGAGAGAAAGAGCTTGTCTATAATATTAAGAAAGTCTCAGCAAACAACAAATTGCAGCCTATGGACCTTATTTTGATTCTGATTCAAACAAATTGCAAAAAAGAAAGAAGATAATTGAGAAAATTTAAGCAGTGACTAAATATTTTATATGAAGGAATTACTACTGCTTTAGGCAAGATGATGTTGTGGTTTGTTTTCTGTTAAGAATATTTATCTTTTAGGGATATTTGCTCAAATACAAATAAAATTAAATAACGTCTGAGATTTTTTTTCTTTTTTGCAGAGTAACCCAGATAGATAACTCAGGTAGAAGGACAGAGATGAAATAAGACAGGCCATGAATTGATAATTGCGTAAACTGGATAATGGTTTAAGGCTTCATTATTCTGAAACATCTAATATTGGTTTGATATTTTCCTCAGTAAAAAAGACATGTTTTAGCTGTGTATACAGGTATAATCCCAGCACTCCGGGAAGCTGAGGCAGGAATCTCATAAATTCAAGCCCAGCCTGGGCAACTTAACGTTTTAGTGAGACCCTCAAAATTTCAAAAAATAAAAAATATACATATACATGTCTAGGGATGTAACTCAGTATGAAGGCACTGAGTTTGATCTCCAGTACCTCAAAAAAAAAAAAAAGTTTAATGGCAAAAAAACCTTAAATTTTCTTTGAGGGGCAGTGGAGTCCAGCATAGAGCCTCGCACATGCTGCACACTTTTACCATTGGGCTATAACCCCAACCCAGACTTAGAACTTTGATTTTAACTTCCGATGTATTAATGTCTAGCAATCTGTCTGTTAAAATTTGCTATTGGATCTGAAAGTTTGATCTTAACTTCTGATGTATTAATGTCTAGCAATCTGTCTGTTAAAATTTGCTATTGGATCTGAAATCAGCAATTCTAAATGGCAAGTGGAATATTTTAAATACTGTACTAATATTTTAAAAATAAATATAAATCAGCCTGAATCTTCCACTACAATCATGAAAGAAAATACTTATAAATGGAATAAAAATGTATAGAGACTAAAGGAGAATGGGTACGAGCGAGGAAGTGGTTCCACCACACATTAAATGTATAAACCTGAAGTTTACCTAACCTCTAAATCTCAACCTCAATCTCAGTTTTTTTATCTGTAAATGGGACTATCAATACCTTAGGGTGCTATCAACTACCTTAGGGAAAGACTGAGGATTAAATGGGATAACTCAATAACTATCACACAAATAAGTACTTGGTAAATATCAACAAATAATTTAAACACTACATGTTCAGTAAATTATGACAGGCTCCTAGACAGATGCATTCTGTTTAGATTTGCATAGCAGAAATAATTCCCTATGACCCATGGCTTCTAAATCAGAGACGCCAATCTACTTAGGATGCCCAAAGAGAAGAAGCCACAAAACAGCACAGCAGCATGGTCTCACTCCTCCCAAATATCTCTACAGTGAAACAAAACAAAAATACCCACTGTGCCATTTACCACCAAGTCCTGCTCCGTAGGACAAGCATTTTAGTGGCATATACTTTTATGCTCACAGTAATTCCCCTTTGTCCATGATTTTGCTTTGCATGGTTTCAGCTACCAATGGTCAACTAGGTTTGAAAATACTAAACGAAAGATTCCAGAAATAAACAATTGATAAGTTCTAAATCACACAGCATTCTGAGTAGTGTGATGACACCTCACACCTCCCCATGCTGTGTCCCACTGGGAATGAGACTCATCCCTTTGTCCAGCAAATTCACACTGTATAAACTCCTTGCCCAATGGCCACATAACAGCTGGCTTGGTTATCAGATTAACTGTCACAGTACCATAGTGCTTAAGGCCAAGTAACCTGTATTTTCATGTAACAATGGCTCCAAAATACAATTCAAAAATTTAAACATGTCAACAAGAAGTCATTCTTTCTCAATGCAAAAAGAAAAAACTGTACGCTAAGATCTATCGTACAAGATATTTGAAAGATCACATTTACATAAACTTTTATTTTCATAAGTTCTGAGTGCTACCCTAAGTCCTCTTCTCTGAGAACTTTTGAGGACACTGCTCCCTTGTCTTTTAAACCCTCCATGTTGCTTGTGAGACATTTGTTGTAGTTTTAAAGGGCTAGAACTTTTCTTACATTACTTTTCTGATAATTGACCTCCATTTTCTTTCTGAAACTTCTGTTAGATTTGCTCTTTTTGCACTATTTTCACAGTTTTGATTTATCCTCTACACAATCAACTCTTAAAAGTTGTGCCAACATCTTAATTTCCAAGAACTCTTTCTTTTCTGATTTTTAAAATGATTATTCTGTTCTTTCTTTATTGGGGCAATATATTTTCACTTCTCTGAGAATATGAAATGCACATTTTCTGTTTAAGGCTTTCTGACCCAAGCAACATGTGTTTCACATGTTGTCAATTTTTTATCTTGGGCTTTTTATTTATATGCTAATTTTCTATGAAAATGATTTTTGGTTGAGTATTGATCTTAAGAAAAAAAAAAAGGAAGGGTGGACTGAAGCCCTGTGCTGGCAGGACTTGGTGACTGGCACCTTTTGCTTCAGGATTAAACAAAGAATCTGTCATTGTATGGGGAACTTCTTAACAGCTTGAATGAGGGGGGCTTATCACCACACATAAGTGTCCACGATGGAATACTACTTTTCCTTTACATCGTCTTTGCTATTTCCAGAAGAAATAACCTCTATTTCCTGGGGACGAAAGGAAAGAGAGGCAGCGGAAGCACGATGGTGGCTGAGCGTGGGCTTGGGTGGGAGAGGGAGACGGGTGTTCATTGTATAGCTTTTAACTATTTCTCCCTTCCAACTTTCAGCTGTCCTTTTGCCCTGACTTTTTAAGTTCCAGATTCTGAGATTGTTTTGGATCAGAACATTCCTTTGTTGTAGCACCTTCCTGAGTACTTTGGCATGTAGTTTTCTCAGTTCTCATCTGCTTCACCCGTCATTACTTTTTGCTTCTTTCAGAAGTATGCAGGTATCTCCTATCTTCTGAGAAAACTGTTATTTTCCAGTGTTACAGATTTCTTTCTTTTTTCTTATTATTTTTCTTCGTCTCCAAAGAGAGAGAGGAGGCAGACATATATGGTCAGGTCTGGTTTGTTTGTTTTTTTGGTACCGGGGATCGAACAGGCAGCGGAACCACTGAGCTAAATCTTCGGCCCAGATCTGTCTTTAACAATAAATAAAAGTCATATTAATTCAATCATTTCTAACAATTCTCAACATTTTGGACAACTTCATATAAGCAATTAATTTTCTAGGGGCTATGAAGTTACTATATACTCATTTCCTATACTCATTAGGCCAACAAAAACTGCTGAAAACACACATGCCATTTCAGACTATGAGAAAACCAGAGCAAGAATATACTATGGTATGGGTTCTTTTAAGGCAGGGTGTGGCTCTTTCATAGAGACACGAAAAATAGTCACAGTAAATTATGTATGCATCCTTTACGTGGTTCCTAAGAAGAGTGCACACTAATTACACGAAAATACTTTCTTAGTGATAACAACCCAATAACAATCCCAAAACACAAGAGAATATTTTGTTTTTTCTAAAATTCTGAATAAGTTCTAGTTTGAGTGAAGTATATCTAACCCATATACTTGTAACATCTCATAATTTGTTACAACCCTTTAAA